CGTCAATAAATGTCAGTTTGCAATATACTAGTGTTCTTCATGCCAGTGAATGTGTATCAATGAAAGCACCCATCAGTAATCCCTACAAAAAGAACTCTCAAGGCCTCCAAATCTGGTGTTTGGTTGCAGACAAACAAAGGATGGTGTTTGGTTGCAGACAAACAGAGGATGGAACTAGACAGGAGATTCTCAAAGTGCAACACACATCACGAACAGGACTCTCAGTGAACATTGAGCTACTCATTCATATGCTTTCAAGGTACAAAGAACAATGTAAATAAGCATCGTTTAAGAAGCTACATAGAAAATGCATAGAATCATGAACACAGGGTGGTCACAATCTTCAGACACCGCGGGGCTTGCTTCCTTGCTTCATCCACTGGCAGGTGCTGGGACAAAGAACAAATGTCCTGATAGCATTGCATGTCACTAACTAGACAGACCACCATCATCTTATGCTCTAGTTCAACAACAGGACAGCAAATAACAGCATAGGTTCAATCCACAAATAGCACACCTAATCACACTCGTTGATGCCAGTTGAGAAGAGGGGGAATTTTATTTTGTTAAATTATTAGGACCAAACAAGAAAAAAGAGCTACTCATTCATCCCTACTACTCGAGTCCAACCTATAGCTACAGGCACATTAAGGAACTGACTTTACAAAGCATTCTCCAGACTGAAGACGAAATGAAAGAATCCCGGTACATTGAACAAAAAGATGGAGCCTAAAACTCATCCGGGAAAAGACAGAAAAGAAAAAACTAGCTGACAGAAAAGATTGAATAACAAAACCCAAAATATGCAACCTGTGATAGCTGATTTGCTGAAGCTGCCTTCTGCTCAACAAACAGAGACGTTTGCAGGCAGGCACAACAAGCGCGCATTGCTATCAGAAACAGCACCTGCTGGATATATCTTCAAGAAACTCTTGCTGGATTCGCTCCTGGGAGATCAAAAGCACCGGAATAAGCCACTAAACAAGATGAAATAAGCAGAAGAAGTTTATCAATTTCCATTTTAGTTAATCCATCATATTTCTTCTCTAGAAACAAGGAAAATCCAGCAAAAGAGACCAATGACCAATGATTGTTCGTCTATATCCTTAAAAGCCAATGCACAGTTTGTAACCCCATCTCAATGAAGTTCATAGCACACTAACCACTTGCCACGTAGGGTGCTTTCTTAAGCAACATAGATTAATAAGGAAGGAACCCAGTCCGCTTCAGATCAGGCAGTTTTCAAACTCAGATTTCAAGGCCGTAAAGCGACTACAACTAACACTAACAAAGAGGAAACGAATTTGCCATGAGATTTCCAGGAGCCATTGAGATAGAAGAAGAAAAAAAGGATTGGCTAGGAAGGAAGCACACATTGTACTCAACTAACATCATCTTAGAAATTATACCAGTCACAGAAACTCTGTTAACAACTCTCTCATATAATCACGACAGTAGCAAAAGTTATGGTACCAAATACAACTACCACCTAAAACAAAAGAGTATATTAAGGCATGCCTAGAAACCACGGATATGGCAATGTTTAGACAAAGAGGCAGACATAGATGGATAGCCTAAGCAATCACTACCACGGCAAGTTGGGACATATTAGAAAAAGTGCTAGAGAAAAGTTTGGTGGAAGCAAGAATGTTCTCGACAGTACTCATACAACTTAGCACTTTTCAAGCACCTGAACGTATGGTACACGGAATAGCAATGCCTAAACTACATGAATGCACCAACAAAGGTAGACTGAAAATTGAGTCCATCTTGCGATGTGATTGACATACATTAATCTTGGCACCCAAGAAAAACCGAGAACTGCCAACCAATGTTAAATACCTTTTCTCTTGCTTGAGCCAGGCAAACTTCCATTTGCAGCAACAGCATTCCCGGCACCACAGACCGAAAAATCGTTGAAGCCAGAGTTCTGATTCACCATGCACTGAAGATTCTCAAAGTCACAACCAGTGTAGACTTGCCCATTTACAGCCACACCTTCTGCTAATCCTTTCCCATCATCCATCCCAGGATGCAAGCAATACGCTCGATCATTACATACCATGTTACAAGGGTTCACCACATAAGCACCCTGCCCACTTGGATTGGTTAAATTCAAGTTAGCAGTAGCAGCAGGTTTCTGATAGGGAAAAGACCCGATCTCCCCCTCGATCCTTCCTCGAATATCAACAAGCAAACACTTAAGCCTGGCAATCTCTGCCTCCAACGCAGCCTGCCCTTGTACCCTCTTCATCAGCTGCTGGTTCAAAGCCCTCAATTTCACAACTTCATCCTCCAAAGACGCAGCCCTCGCCTTCTTCTTCTCTCTATACTTCCTCACTGCCTCCCTGTTGCCCAAAGGCCGCTTCTTTGACTTCTTATCCACGGATTCAGCAGTGTCATCGCTGCCATGCTTATCATCTGACGAACCCGAGACGATTTTGGTATGCACATGGAAGCAAGTATGAGTGTGGGAGTAATCGGGACCAGGTGGGTTGCAGGTGTGCGTGTGAGTACACGCATGGCTATCTCTGAGCAGCTCGTCGAAGAAACTGTCCATCGAGCCGCTGGTCGGAATCTCCGGCATGTTTGTGCTGGAGAACACTTCCTGCTGCGAGAAATCAACCTCGCCGTCGTCCATGGCGGAAGATTGAAAGCTCAACGAGACAGCTTCGATAGCCTAACCCAGATTGCAACTATTCAAATGATCTAGCAAAACCCTAAAGCTGAACGGGGAGAAACCAGACCGATATTTCCGAACAATTGGATGAGAACCCAGATGCGGGATTTGCATGAGAACAACCGGGATTGCCTACGGAGCCGCCGATTGCGATAAAATGCCGGATTTTGCGAGGATTCGTCGGTGAATACGAGGGTTTTACAGGGGATGAGACGGAGATGAGAAAATACCGGAGAGCAGATAATTCAAATCGATATCAGAGTAGATAAATGAAACCCAGGAGATTCAAGGATGAAATTTTCCCGCAAAAGAGAAGAGAGAGACTACTGGGAACATGCGAAATTGGGTAGAGAAAGAACAAGCGAAACTGGACCAGAGACCATTTTCTTTTTTGTTTCGGTGGCCACCGTAGCTCTTGAAGATTCGTAGAGACAGCGGCGGACGTGGAAGGGGAAAAGGTTAGATTAGTCCTTCGCTGTCAATTTATAGGTACTCGTCGTCACTAGCAAATCTAAAAAATAATGGAGATGTATATTAAATTAATTATAATTGTTCATCTAATCAATCAAAAGTAGGATTAGGAGTGCAATGATTTGGTTCGCAACGGATTAAAACTAGATCAAATCAACATTTTGAAATTGAATATAACATGGTTCATTTCTTGTTATCATATATTTTTTTGAATACAAGAAAAATAGATGGAACCAATATTTGACATTGTGGACAATACCAAATCAAATTAACTGGTCCAGTTGTCATCCTCAAATTTCTTTCATCGTTGGACTATGATTATCACGATTTGTTCTCATTTGAGTTTAATTTGAAAAACGTTTTACTTTGAAAAATGATTAGACCGGTAAAAGATAACTTGATTGATGGGTTCTCTCAACTACCACGAATATTTCCCTAAAAAAAACAACCACGAATATATTGAAGCAGAGGAAAGCATTTTAATTGCAGAATTGAAAAACTGAACCACACAAGTCACGACTCATAGCTACATTGTTTAAGATAATGAGAAAGACATGAGATTTGACCCACGCTAAGATTATTCCCACTTCCTACTAGCTTTCAATCAACGTAAAAGAAAATCTATTGATATAAGTAAAAATAAAACATTTTAATTATTTAGGGTGCCAAATGAACCGAGTAGAGTTTTGATATAGTTTGAGAATGGCTTGTTTAAACTAGTCGAACTCAAATTCGGTTTGTTTTTGAAAATTTGACTTGTGTTTGACTCGATTTCAACTTATATAATGAGCTCATGAGGTCTCTTTCAATTCGGTTGATCAATTAGCTTACAAGTTCGACTCGAAGTAAGGTATTATATAATTTAGTTTATAATTTTTATCCAATAAAATAAGTTTGTGATTTTTAATGGTTATATCGTGTTATTAAATAGTGAATAGTATATGCCCAATTTATGATACATAACTTTTATTTTTTAATGTAAATGAGACATAGGTGTTCAATTTCTTAACATTATATGTGCCGTGGTATATAATCATAATTTAATGAACCTATAAACTATCAACAAGTCAATGATAAGATATCAGTCGATTCACCCATAAGTTGTTGGCTAAGGTGGCACAGTAGCCATACTATCGAACCAACTCATACTGAAAACAATCTAGCTCACGAGTAAAGTTCAACAAGTCACCGAATCGAGACGACTCACGAGTTTTATGTGTCAAACATATCTAAACTCAAACTCAACGCATTAGTAAATGTGTCACGTATCAAATGAGCTTTTGCCGAGTCACTCGTGAATTGGTTGGTTCATTTGCGGCCCTAATTTTACTGGGCAAAGTACACTTTCATAGCCATAACTATACACGTTGTGACAATAATAGCCACTTTTTGAAAAATACACAAATATAGACATTCCGTCTATAAATTTAACGGTTCTGTCATGACTGCTAACTGGACAAACGGTAACTTGTAACGTGACCAGGTCTTGTCTAAGTGGCAATGCCAGGGTGGAATTTGTTTTAAACTTAAGTTATTAATTACAAGAAAAATACAGAAAATATGAAGGAAAGAGAGTCTGCTTCTTCACCTTCTCCTTCCTCCTAATTTTTCTCTCTGCCGACAGCTAGTCTCTATTTCCCTCCGGCTCTCGGGCACGAGTGAGGTGATCTTCGTCGGCGATGGTGGAGCGGAGACGACTTATACTTTATCCTCTTCCTCTTTCTTTGATTCCTTGAAGCTCTCCACCTCCCACCTCTATTCAGTCATTCATTGAAGATCCAATTTAGGGTTTTGTTTCAATTGATTCCACCCTCAATTAACTATAGAAACCAGATCTCCGCCCTATAGACTTCTTCCCCTTCCACTGCTTCTCTTTGTTTACAATCCTCTGGCCGCATCCATATGCTTCGTTGCCGACCAGAAGCGTGACCAATCAACATCCACAGCTACGAATCAACTACCCTAACTCACCCAGTCCGCTCCCTCCTTCTCCCGGCAGGCATGGCCATATATTTGTCCCCCGACCAATTCGCAGGCGGCGAGGCAGAGTATTGTCAAGAACCAGTTGGTCTCAATAACTCGAGTTGTTGGGAGAAGGTTCTGCTGGATCTTATACCACTTTCTAACACGCCCCCTCAAACGAAAGCCAACCATGGGCTTGAAGTTTGCACAGGCCCACCATATCTTGTGCTTTAATCAACTGTTAATATTGGGGGTCGTGGAGATTCGAACACACGACCATTTGGCCAAACCAGCTCTGATACCATGTCAAGGATTAGTTGGTCCCAATAACTCGAGTTGTTGGGAGAAGGTTCTGCTGGATCTTATACCACTCTCTAACAAGTATCACATCGACTCGTGTAGAGGTGGAGAAAAACCCTCACCCCGCCGCACCAATTCCACCACTCCATTTCATCCCGAAGGAATCAATGGCGGTGAGGTCGTGGAGATGGAGTGCCATCCCGGCGGCCCCGCAGCTGGTGCCTAGCTCGATGGCTCTGCTGTGCTTAGAGCGGAAGGTAGAAGGGATTTCTTCGATATGGAAACTTGAGAAAGAAAGGTGACGATTTTGCGGCGGAAGGTAGAAGGGATTTGTTGGGAGAGAAATTGATTAGGCAAGAAACAGGGATGGAGGAGGCACCTGGAGATTTGGTTTTGGAGGAGTAAGGGTTTGGGGCGGTGGGATTTTTTTAGCAAAGGGGGATTTTTTGGCAGGCGGGGGTAGCCGGTAGTTATGAGATTTTTATTAAAAAAACATTAAGTAATGAATTTTTTTTAATTAAAATGTGACGTGGCATCCAGGTGGTATTGTGTGTCTTGTTGGAGCTAACATGTGAGCTGATTTGGCATCCACCTCAACATAACGTTCACGTTACGGACGAAGTCACTAACGGTGTTAAAGATTTTAACGGAAATGGCTAAATCTGTCCAACTATTTTTCAAAATGTGGCTATATTTGGATATTTTTCAAAATGTGGTTATTATTGTCACAAAGTGCAAAGTTATGGCTATACAAGTGTATTTTGCCATTTTATTGTCAATATCTGTAGTTTCATGAAATTTTTTCATGATTCTTTATTCGTAGCAGGCTTTCAGCTCAGCTACCCCAACAACAAAAGAAAATAAAAGCCCAAGCTATCTACTTTGAAGCCCATGGACCGATTCTTTTCCGCCTGTAATCACAATTTACCGGTCCCCCCTTGGAATTTTCTAGATTCCTTGCAGGTGACGGAAAAGGAAAACGGGTCGTCCTATACCTCGCCGGGAACAGTCAACAGTCAGTCCACCGGCGAACCCTTATATATATCAGTACCCCACAACGGCAAGCCTCCCAGGCTTCGTCTCCAACCCTAATTGCAACAAAATCGGCACAGTCAGAGCTCCCATTTGGAGTCGGCGGCCTTTCCCTTCCACCCGGATATATCGATCATGGCCATCGGCGATGACATTGGGAGCAGCGCTTCTTCCGATCTAGGTTTTCTGCGAGCGAGACCAGGCTAAGGGGAAAACAAGGGGATTACTCCGCCGCCACCGCCGCCGCAAGAATGAGGATCACGGGAACAGCGCCAGGGGTCCGATTCGAGCCCGAGGACGACCAGATCATCACTTATCTCCTCGATAAGGTAACGGGCAAGGATTTGTCCCAAAATCCGGTGATCGATTGCGACCTGTACGGCGAAGATGAAGCTTGGAAGGAGCTGTTCGTTGAAACCGGGGAATCTGAATTGTATTTCTTCACCAGATTGAGGAAGGTAAAGACGAAGAAGGGGGAAATGGGCGGCGGTGGAGGTAGGGCAGAGAGGACGATTGGCCCCAAGGCCACGTGGCGGTCGAGCAAGGACGACCCCATTTTTCTCCCCGGCGGGAGCGTCCAGATCGGGTTGAAGCGGGCTTTTACTTACCGTCCCAACCAGAGTTCTGCGGCGGCGAGGAAGAAGGAAACCGGAGATGGGTTCTCGATGACAGAGTACCGCCTCGACGGCGTCTTCAACAGCGTCGCCACGGATCTTGTGATGTGCTCGGTGAGAAGGAAAGAAGGCAGAGCATCCTCCTCTGAGATCGAGATCAACGATGCTGCTGTGACGATGGCGTGGTGTTTGCGGCCTTGCAGATCGATTATGGCTCAGCCGATGATGGGAGGAAGGGTGTTTTCGTGTTAGTGATGGTACGAGCTTTGCCTGCTGCTATTGATGATACCTCTCGGTATCAGTTGGAACAGAAGGCAGAGAGAGAGGCATTCATGGCTATACCGGATTAACCATTATCACTGTGGAATGCAAGTTAGTTTATCTTATTAATGTCGCTCCCAATTCTTACCCTTTTGTTAATTGTTATTCAGATTTCTGGGTTCAATTTGTTTGATGTCATATCGTAATCAAACAATGTCATTTATGTAACAGTGTTAGTTCATAATAAAAAACTGCAGCAGATTTTTGCAATGGAATTGTCTGCAAATTCTTAGTCTCTTCAACTCAATTATCTAACACTTCTTGATTATGAATCTATGATTATCAGCATCAGTAGTTCATTATTGTAGATTTAGAAAACAAGGTGTGGAGAAATGGTAAGCCAAAATCATATAGAAATTCCATCATCCCATGGCATATTTTTGGGTCCAGCTGCGAGCAGTGGCTTCATACTTGATCTTGTCCGTCTTGCACATATGGGCTATTTCAGGGACCAATGGGTCATCTGGGTTTGGATCGGTTAGCAGCGAGCAGACCGACAACAAAACCTGGTTCACCCCAACATCAGCTAATCACCAACCAGAATCAAGTTCTAGCAAGGCTAGTTACATGTTTCAGTTTAATCACAGGCTTCAAGTTGGAAGAAAAACTTTACCTTGGAGATGGTAAGTGCAGGGCTCCATTGCTCCTTGAGTATATCCAGGCAGATGTTACCATTGCTGTTTATGTTAGGGTGGAACACTTTTGTCCTGAAAGCCACCTGCCATTAAGGAATATGAAGAAATCAGGGCCTAAAATGAAGAAAGATAGAGAAAGCTTGGATCTTTGGGCTGGATGCAGTTCAACCTTGGGAGGTTTGAATGGATAATCTGGTGGGAAGTGAATGGATACTAGGAAAACACCACCAGAATATGGACTGTCATTTGGCCCGATTATGGTGGCTTGCCAGTGGAACATATCTTGCGCCACTGGCCCTGCACTGCAGGAAGTTGGAGGGTCTCTCTGCAAGTCCTTCAGCTCCTTCACTATTCTCCTGGACGCCATTTTTGGTGCTGAAAAAAGCTTCAAGCAGAGGTTTGCAGCTCAAGGTGTTGATATTTTGCAGGTTTTTTGAAGGAAAGCTATGAGTTCTGGGACTTGGAAGTCCTACCCTGGGAATGGGAGTTTGTGGGTGGTATTAATAGAGGGGAACTTTTGATGGGCTGTTCTGCAAAGGGAATATTGATATCTCAAGATGGGCACAAAGTCCACTAATTTCTTTTTTGGAATGGTGTGGCAGTGGGCACAGTATAAATTCTTGAGGCAAAGTAGGGCCAAATAAGGTCGTTTGCTACTTATACTGTCTGACTCACAAATCGAACTCAACAAACCACTTATTCGATTTGACTCATGAGTCTTGCGAGCCAAATTTAACTCAAGTTAGACTTATTAGTAAGAGAACCGAATATCAAATGAGTTTTTTCCGAACCAAAAGTCGAACCGCTCGTGAGCAGATTAGCTTATTTGCAGCCCTAACAATTATATGTTGTTTTCTTCCTCTTCCTGATTACCTTTAAAAACAAATATTCCAAGAAAACCCACAACACTTTTCCTTGACTAGAGAAGGAACTCATACCCTTTTCATTTCAGCTCAATTAAGAACAATACGTTGTTTTCCAAAGGTCTGAATTCAGTCACCTTTTCCACTAATGGACTGATGCTACAGCAGCAACTAACGAGATAAAGATATTCATATCGGACATAATAAGCACAAACGGTAGGCCAATTGCGAGAATCCTGCAAATACAGCAAACCAATGAACTTGGCCTGAAAACCGATGGCTCTAATATGATCCACATAATTCGATTCACATCATATCTTTCTTTGTCCCTGATAAGAATGGAAGATATTCTTGACAAGATTATAACTTTGGTAGGCCACCAAACATTCCTTCTCTACCTCTTTAGAAAGACAACTCCATGACCATTTCTTCTTCACAAAACAATGCAAATCAACAGTCTTCAAGATGTAAAAGAGCCACACTGGCTTTGACTAAGATTCCAGGGATAACTGATCATAATACAATGATGTGCAGCGGCGCCACGTCATGGAAGAAAAATACAGAAGTGAATCGTTATCATTAAACCTCTCATATACAATCAGAACATACAAATCCAATAGAATGCAACAGACGATAACACACATGAACTTGATATTGATTAAATACTGTTGGTGACTCTGACTCCCCCTAGTTCTGTCAGTTCTTTTGCAGCTACAAATACCCATTCAGCGTCGTTGGCTTTCTCAAAGGTGGGATAGGAAGTGAGAGATGGCAAGAGACTAGATTTTTGAATCAATATGCCTAACTCGGTCATGATAGTCCACCAGAGTCCATTCTTTTACCAGATCACAAGATGGAGCAACCCTTCTGGGACTTTCTCTTCTTTCTCCTTTTCTGCTTCGGTGGCTGGAGAACCACCTTGATTGCCGCATCAAACACAGCCTTCACATTCTGTTACAGCAAAAAAGTTACAGAAGAAAAAGATTCTGTCAAAGACGAGGCAAGGTAAGAGTTTCGTCTGTGGCTCCAGGGAATAGGGATGTGTCAAGTTTCATTACCTGCTGTGTTTTTGAACTGCATTCAATATACATAGGAGCTCCAATTAGCTTTCTCAGCTCTTCTCCCTGTCACAAAGTACAGTATCAACTTAATTCTCTTGTGTAACTGTAAAGCAAGACTAGTTACAAAATTACTCAGTCAAACAAGGGGAAGTGGCAGCTTATGTTATACCTGAGCAGTTGTAATAGGTACTGCACCAGGATGATCCATAAGGAATTGCTTGTCCTCTCTTAAATCTGCAGAGTACCGATATAGATGTGATGGTAGCATAAAAATGCTAAATGAAAGGATTTTCAAAGTTGATAAAGACACATTCTAAGGTAGAAGCCTCATACGATGAGTGAAAACTTGTAATAATCAATTAAATACCACAAGGATGGCCATTTTTCAAGTCAATCCACCTAAAGAGAAAACACCAAGGAGGAAATAGAATCTAACCGAGCTTAGTCCCGACAAGGATGATTGGAACACCAGGCGCATAGTGCCTCAACTCAGGAATCCACTGAAAGAAAGAAATAAGAGAAAATCAGATAGAACTTCATTAGCATATAACAAACCCAGACAGCTTCTAAAGAAAAAAGAAGTAAAAAACTACAAAGAAAATTTGTTCTGGCCTTACTTTCTTCGCCACATTTTCATAGCTTGCCTTGCTGATGAGAGAAAAAGCAAGCAGGAAAACATCCGCCCCTCGATAACTCAAAGGTCTCAGTCTATTGTAATCTTCCTGGCCTGTGTCAGAATCAAGTATCTATTTTGAAGCCATTCTGTTTCTTAGTAAAGTTGGCAACAGAAAAACTATTTCTTAATATTTCAACTCACCAGCAGTGTCCCACAAGCCCAGATTGACCGTGCTTCCATCCACCACAACATTTGCACTGAAGTTGTCAAACACCGTTGGCACGTAATCCTATGTCCCAGAGGGTCACAGAAGAACAGAACAATCAAATGTCAGAGAGAGCTGAAAAATTTAAGAGTAAATGCACATGACTTTGCTAAATTTCCACAAAATTATATGAGACATCTAGCACAATCTTCAGTAAAAGGAAACATCTAAATCATATGTACTCTATGGCTCATGCCTAGTGTGATTACTTAGCCTTCTTATTACAGGTGCCAAATGCCTAAATCTTTACTTAATTTATAACAATTTGAAAAAAAGGGAGATTGTTTTATACTTGAAGTGTTGCATTGTTCCTTGCGATAAAAGAAGCTAACATTCATAGACTGTCAAGTGTAAAGAGACACTGAAGAGGTCAAACATATGAGAGTTACTAATGCCATTAGGTGGGCGAGAAGAAGGAAACTTGAGGGTTGGACCACAACTTCATAAGAGCTAAACCGTGGGCAACAGAGGACAATGGAAGTAACTAAAGTTGCCAGTAATTCAATTTTGATCCAGCAAATACTACACAATTCAACAAACATGTAGTAGATTCAAGTACCGGAAGCTCCTGACCAGAGATCTATTAAGAAAGAGATTATGTGATTCAGTCAGCTTGAAAGGTACCCCCTTTCTTTCAGCACGTAAAGGCTCTTTTAAAGTTCAGCAAATGCTGAATGGTTAATGTGAATTGCTCGCATCACTTGATTGTTGCTTGCACAAGAACTACGTAAGCTGGAGCATGTTACAAATCAAGCCCAAGTATCATTTCTGAGTCAATACTTTTGAAAGAAGCATATCACTAGATGATATGGTTAGTATCTTGTTAAATTAAATCTACCTACAAACTAATTTTTGGCAGCAATAATTTATCTCCTCATGAACAGTCAGCTGTCTCTCTTTTACAGTCATCCTTCTTTCCGGTTTCCAGCACTTATGCTAGTGAGTACCAAAAGATCTCCAATTCCATATGATTTTGTTAAATAGAACTTTCCCCTCAGCCACGACATAGCAAGTTCAGCGGTTGTAATTGCTTTCCTAAGAAGGGTGCAAGTAAGCCAACCCAAAATGAATGATTTAAGGGGAAAAAGTCACAGAAGTTAAAGCAAAAGTACTCACTTCTTTCCTTGTCCCCTCTTCCTAGTTTGCAGCTCTAATTATTATGTTATATGCTGAGAAAGATTAATTCACAAAACAGAAACTGAAACTGAACTAAGGGGACTGCAGAAAGCATATTGTTCATACTGACTAATCTAAAAGGACCCAAATGTTAAACGTTCCCAGTCTGTTCCTAAAATGTAGAGTTATCGACAATCTTGTTTGCCACAAATTTCAGATCAGAATGTTCTTGTTTTCGTTTCCAACATTCGGTAGATCAATAAGCTCCACTAGTAACACCAATAAAAATAATTTCTTCTCAATGCCGAGACGCCTCAATCAAGATAGATTTTGCCTGGATACATTCTATGCCTGGTTCTAAAATTACGAAGAACTCAAGTAAAACAAACCACACCGAAATAAACATCCACTGTCCTTCCATTCACAACATTCCCTCGTTGAGCCTGAATATTTTGTATTATCAACCCTAGCATTGACTTCCCATCCCAACTCTGGTTAAGAACAGAACACAAGCAACGTGGAACCCATTACCCTATCGGACTTTAGTTGACCAAAAAACGCCACTAAGTTGAAATTTTCTCGTATCATGTTTTCCTTTTCCCCTCACTTTCCCGGGAAACAAACACACCAGAAATCACAATCCAAACTCGATAAAGATCAAAGCTTTACCACTCGAATTAACAAGACAAACCAAGAACAGCAACAAGCAACCACCAAATCAAAACCTCGCGCTGACTAAGCAATTCCCTCCATCCCAAGACAAAATCCACCCACAGGACAAAAACAAAAGGACAAGAAGCTTAAGAAAATTGGGAGGGTTGAAGGAAAATTGAACTTACAGTAGGGAAAGTGTTGCTGGTATAGGAGATGAGCATACAAGTTTTCCCCACAGCGCCATCGCCAACAGTCACACACTTGATGAACCTAGAAGCACTCATCCTTTTTGTTTTATGAAAACCCTAATTCTCAATTGTGCAGGAGCATACACACAGCAGTATAGAGAAATGTGAGTTCCCTTTCCTTCCTTCCTTCCTTCCTTCCTCAAAGCAACCAGCTTTGAGAGAGAGAGAAAGAGAGAGAGGGGAAGAAGAGGGAAAGGAAGAAGGAAGAGGAGTGGGAGGCAGGAAAGGAAGGGCCTTGGGGCTATGGAGGAAGAAGGAAGAAAGAAAGACAGCTGCTTGCCAGCTATAAAATGGCTTTACCTATATTTCAGGTCCTCAGTTCTCTCCCTCTGAGCCCACCAACAAACACTACAGTACACCCATCACTTTCTTTTTTTCTGTTTCTTTTTCTTTTCTGCCATTTGCTTTTCCGTTGAGGTTTTTTTTGTCCCACGTCAATTGTCAAAGACAAAAGGATCTCTCTGGTAGGCAAGGACAAAAGAGTTTGAGAAAGGCTAGCCAATCTGATTGAACCATCTGAAACTATGTTATTTTTTAATTTTGAAAAATATTGTAAGGTGGAAAGAATCTATGAAACATTTAAATTATACGCGTCTAATCGTAAAAAGATGGTGTAAAAATATTATAGCGTGTATGGTAGAAGTGAGATTTTAATAAAAAAAGTGAGACATTGTTGGGAATGAATAGTTTTGAAAGTTATATTGAATTAATTATCCAGTATTTTTCTATATACGAAAATAGAAAGGATAATTAATAAAAAGAATATTATGGAGATAATTAGAATTAATTATCTTAATATAATATATTTTAATTATGGGAGTAATTATCTCCCTAATTAAAATGTGACTTATTCCCAAAGAAAGAGGGAATATTCTGGGTTTTCTGCTCCTATAAATAGGAGACGCCCCAGACCCTCTAAACATACCTCAGAGAGCAGAAATACGAGATAGAGAGTGAGTTCATAGAGCTCCGGTTTTCGCACAAAACCGATGAGCAACAAATTTAGAGTGGCTGTTTTATCCTGGAGGCGACCGGCTGATAGTCTGCCGTGCGCAACGAAGGCAGTGCCGCGAACGTCTTAAAGAGAGCGACCTAATCCGCGACTCAGCCAGATCGGTAACCCTAATTTTTCATGTTCGATTTATAACAATTTTAAGACGTTTGGTTGCTGTCTTGTGAACCGAACAGGTTCGATACCGATTCTGGCTTGATCTATTATTATCGCCAAGCTGCTCCAAAAAGAGACCTTCCGAACCCTAGCGGCGGCACAATAATCATGGTGATCTAGAGATAAATATTTGGAGTTGCGGTTGCAATCGAAGGAGAGAGCCAGCTGAATGGGTGACGACAGATCTGGCCCTATTGCTAAGCTTCGTCTCCTCCGCTGGTGCCGACAGCTTGTGCTGTCTTGATTTCGAAGACTGCGGCGCCTTGAGTGGTATCCATACAATATAATGGCGACGGGGAAGGCAGACGGGAGTATTGGGTCGTAAGGCCACCTGTCCCGAGGAAGAGCAAAAAGAAATCGAAGCCAGAGAATGGAACAACAGCGAGGATCTCTTTGTGGATTCTTTTGGAGAATTAAATTGTGCTGCTAAGTATGAACTCTATTCTCGGATACTCTCATCTTTGGAGAAGGCCCTCCTTTGTTGTTAAATCCACGCAGGTTGAAAGTGGAATCACCCTGAGGAGAAAGGAGTCTTAGCGGAGGACGATTGTTGGTCATATCCTCCACTCAATTTGCGGCTTCTGGTGATAACAACAGGAACTACCACATCAAGAATCGCCGGTCCAATTACGAGAAGGGAATTAATTTCCCCAATTTCGTTCCATTAACAAAGATGCCCAGCTCGACCAACCCAAATTATTGGAACATGTGCGCAAAAGAGGTGCATGTCTTTGTGATAATGGTTACCAATTGGATGATCATGGTGAAGAACAACCATGAAGCGTTGCTTTGTTGCATGAAGAACTTTGACGCGGGACGGAAAAAGAAAGACGCTATGCATATAGCTAGCTATTCTGTTTGAGGTCAAAGTATTATGAATTCTCCAAAAGAGGTAACAACTAAAACCTCTTGTACGAGTTATCAATGAATGATTATAGAATCAATTTCATATGGACTTGTTTATGGCATTGAAATTTTTTGTGAATGCTAGAATGAAAGCTTGAATTGATGCATGATAAGTTGACATTGAGATATATTACGTATCTCGATGATTAGAGCATAAATTGAATACATGCTTTGAAGTATAACGATTTTGTTTAAATGCATGAATACATGTGAAGAATATATGGGAATAGAATGGGTTTATTGCCCATAATAACGATATTATAAGAAGTACTATTATCAGTACTACACGAACCACTTAGGTTGCTGTGAAACATTAAAGTTTCAAGAACGAGAGCAGCAAGCTGAACCAGATCCACACCAATTAGAATGGTACCCATCGTGGTAACCATAAGATTGCCACCCAATCCTCTAAGAATGACGCTATGTTTCTCTGTTATTTGTGAGAAACTAGGTCATAAGACACGAAAGTGTAAGAAAAAGTTTAACATAGTGTTAAATTGACTAAATAAGAGGATTTGGTGGTAAAAATCACTAATGGGGTGATAGGCCTTAATGGCAACTCTGAAGAATGGTGGTTGGATATTGGCGCCTCAAGGCATGCATCTGATAAACGAGCTAAGCTCAATCATACATTGACGCATATTGAAGGAGAAAGTGTTGTTGGGCAAGACCCTCACCACTATTGTTAATGGTTCTGGGAAAGTGGAAGAGAATCCTACCTCTAGAGAGTCTTTGACTTTCCTAGACATAAGGAATGGTTAAGTTGATAAGATAAATTCTTCCAAGTGTGTCTTTGTGAATAATTAGGATATCTTATATTGCATTCCCATATTATTATTGGATGCTTGAGAAAAAATATGAATTTTGTATATTCAAGCTAAATGACCCATAAATATGTGGTTAGAGAATCAGAATCGATAGATCTGATTTATTTTGATATGGGTAAACTTGATGGAAAAGACAATAAACAATTTATTGCTCTTTAGAGTGCTCTGATTGTCAGACTAGTTATTTGAAATGGTTTGAAATGCCTAATTTCATTATGATTGCACTGATTATTCGATATGTGGCATGCATGTGGTAGCGTTAGAAAATCCGTGTAACATGATAACTAGAAGAGCATATGAGTGTGTTTTATGTTGTTAGCAATAAAAACACATAGTTCCTATGAAACGAAATACTCATGTTGTTGTGAAATCCATTAATGCCAAGAAACTTCCATTTTAAATCAAGAAATAGTGGGGGTAGTGTCCTGCCTACTATTAGAAATAATGGAACTAGTGGGGGTAATAAATCTGAGTTTAAACTCAGAAGAAGCAAATGAACCTGAAATCTCTTAAGGTTTTTGGTTATGAATTTGTTATTTACACCCTAAGAAAGAAAGATCCTACAAGTCTGCTAGAAGTTCGAACTTCCATAAAGATGCAGAATTGTGGGAGAATCCATTATTAACGAAATGGAATTATTAGTCTAATAAGACTTAAAATCTTGTAGAGTTACCTCTTGGTTGAAAAGCCTTGGGTAATATATCGATAGAATCGAACAAGATTTGGCATTTTTGAGAATTACCTCTTGGCAATTAAGTCATGGGTAATAAATGGATTCTTAAAAGAAAAGTGAAACCTATTGGTTTAGTTTATGAGTATAAGGATCGCCTAATAGGTAAGGCTTTAAGCGAAAAGGAAAAATTGTAAATTTTTTGTTATTTATTCACCATATGTAGAATAACATCCATGTATGTTCTGAATGCTAGTGTTGTGCGTCAGATGGATTGTTAAACATGTTTATGTGAATGGTGATTTAGATAGGAAAATCTACATGGGACAACCTATAGGGTTGTTATTCTTGAACATGCTTAGGGAGTCTATAGTTAGACAAATCATTGTAAGATTTGAAATAGACTCTAAGACAATGGCATGAATAAACTGGTTCTCTCTCATGGTTTTAAAAGTGAAAGTGACAAGTGCATTTAGTACAACTTTGAGAATGACACTTGCATTATGACACTTCGGTCTTTGGTACAAAGACTCGTGATGTCAATATTATGAAAAACCATGTTGTTTGAGAATTATGAAGGTAAAAAGATCTGGATGAAGCAAGTGTTATGCTCGGAGATCCAGATTACTAGGACAATGAAAGAGATTTCATCTAGATCAGTTTAACTACACAGTTAGATCTAGAGGAAATACGAGTTCTACACCTGCATAAATGTTTGATGGTGCTAGTGTAATTTTTAAGAGCACCAAAGACGGTGTAAGAAAGTAAGAACATCGACAGTATGCGAGAGGCAGCTGATAAACATGAGACCCGACATAGTGGGGGTACTTGGCAGGCTTACTGATTGTCCTAGTATGAAGCATTGAAATGCTATTGAAAGGGGTCATGAGACACCTTAAAACAACAGGAAAACCTTGGTATTTGTTATCTATGGTTTTGCTGTATTGGTAGGGTATAGTGATGCGGATTAGAATACCCTATAGAGGACTTCAAGACAACAAGAGGCTGTGTTTTAAACATCGATAGAGAAGCTATGTCTTGGAAGTCTAAGAAGTAAACGATCCTGGCTCAATCAACTAAGAAATCAGAAATGATAGAACTAGCAATGGCTAGTAAAAAGTAAAGTTGATTGAGAGGGTCACTACTAGAGATTCCCTTATGGGAAAGACCGATCCCTCCGGTAGTTGTTTAATTGTGATAGCACCGCAGCTATTGCAATAGAAGGGAACCGGTTCTAGAACGAAAAGAGACGACAAATTCGTCGTAAGCACAGTACTGTAAGAGAACTCCTGACGATAGGAGTAATGAGGGTGGATCATATAAGATCCAAAACAGAATCTAGATGATCCTTTGACGAAAGGATTACCTAGAGAGAAAGTCCAAAATACCACAAAGGGTATGAGACTTATGCCTACCGAACCATGGATTACAAGTGATGGTAACCCGACCCGATAGACTGGAGATCCCAAGAAACGGGTTCAATGGGTAATAACAAGTCATGAGTAATATTGAGAAAAGTTCATGCATAGTGAAGCATGAATCCCAAAGCCTTGGAGGTTGAGTTAAAACTCTTAATGAGATCTATACTCTATGTGGAGGGAAGTACTTTACTTTGGGGGTACTTCTGATAGACTCACCTATGTGAATGTGGGAGTGGGGCCGCTCCCTATGGAACTTTGGAGGCACAAAGTTGCTAGAGCGTTCACTAAACGGGGATAACGTGCATGGCCATAAACGCACGGCCTATGAGAGAATATCACTCAATGAAAAGATCCGGTGTGCTACATTGTCTGAGATAGGGTTCAAGACTACGAGTCACCCTTATGAAATCGGAAGTGTAACCACTACGCTAAGGTTCAAATCTTCGCGATACCTTAGTTTATGCCAAATCTTATGGATTTGTTGATGCTCAGAGATAGTTTCAAAACTATTCAAGTGGGGGATTGTTGGGAATGAATAGCTTTGAAAGCTATATTGAATTAATTATCCAGTATTTTTCTATATACGAAAATAGAAGGATAATTAATAAAAAGAATATTATGGAGATAATTAGAATTAATTATCTTAATATAATATATTTTAATTATGGGAGTAATTATCTCCCTAATTAAAATGTGACTTATTCCCAAAGAAAGAGGGAATATTCTGGGTTTTCTGCTCCTATATATAGGAGACGCCCCAGACCCTCTAAACATACCTCAGAGAGCAGAAATACGAGATAGAGAGTGAGTTCATAGAGCTCCGGTTTTCGCACAAAACCGATGAGCAACAAATTTAGAGTGGCTGTTTTATCCTGGAGGCGACCGGCTGATAGTCTGCCGTGCGCAACGAAGGCAGTGCCGCGAACGTCTTAAAGAGAGCGACCTAATCCGCGACTCAGCCAGATCGGTAACCCTAATTTTTCCTGTTCGATTTCTAACAGACATTGCTAAAATAACTATTGATTTAGAGATGTACGAAGATATTTGTAAAAAGATGTGTGACAGTCACGATCTTGTCCTAGATACTCATCCTCACAACTCACAAGACTTGTTCCCTACC